AATATTATTATTATTATTTTATCAATATTATTATTATGGATCTTCTTCCATGCGAATAACCAAACACAGTAATGTAATATTCCTGAGAATTTAAAAAATATTCCTGTATGGAACCAAACACAGTAATGTATTATTCTTAGGAATCATATTACCCTCCATTACTTTCCTGAGAATATGATTCCTACTGATTCCCGCATACCAAACGCCCCCTAAGAGGCATGTCACTAATTGCTTGGCTAAGTTTGGATCTGCGAGGCGCAATTCGCAAACATAAAAAATAAAAATAAAAATAAAATAATAAAATGAAGCATGCTATTTCTCCATATATTATTGACATGCATTTGTTTTAAAATTAAAAACGACCCAAAGCGCAAACGTCAAAACGACATAAAATTTAATTAGCATGTTGTTTTATCAAACGATATATCCAAAGATCACTGCTAGGTACACTCACACTAAACCCAATTATTTTGTACCAACTTGTCTGGCATAGAATTGTCATCTTTTCACTAGTAACTATAATCATTTATTATTAATTGAGGTGACAATTAAATAAACTATCAATAAATGGATGAGAATTCATATGTCACGTGAGTTGGTCTAAAAAACTTAGAATTAAAGTTAGTATTTCTAACATTATTCATTTCTAAAATAGCGTTATGTTCTTTACTGTGCAAACAACGACTACCAATTTATGTCGTTTTTCTGCTTCAGGGAGCACCGTGCATCTTCTGCATAGAGATGTAAATGGGGCCATATAAATGGTGCCTAACCCCGCCACGCCGCATTCGTGCCACATTTATTTGGGGAATGGTTCCATTTGTAAAAGAGTTGTCTAATGGTTTGCTACTTATGGATGAGATGCACATATGTTGAATTTAATTGTGAAGGATGGTTTAGCTATTTATGAGGTCAGCATTGAGAAAATTCGTGAAAGCTAAGAACATGACAAGTGCGATGATGGATAAATTTGAGAAGTATTGGAATGAAATTCACGGAGAGACGAGTGTTGCAACTGTTTTGGATCCGAGATACTAATTTACACTGATTGAATATTTATTTCCTCGATTATATGAAGATTATGCTTCTCAACAGCTCGGGTCAGTTCTGATTTTAAGAAAGAGTACCAAACTAATTATAGCCAGCTAATTTAGCTTCTATTTCTTGCTGTAACCACTTCGAGTTTGCCAAATAAAGCTCTATGCTAACATTGCCTAGCTGCTTCACGCTAGAAGTTTGAACTGAGGACCATGGAGAACTATGGCCACCAAAGACTCCTAATTCAAAGGATGATTAACGGAAAATGATGAACTTACCATTTTATTTCATTTTCTTTGATTCATTCACTTTCAAGTGTATAAAATCTATACTATCCTTCATTTATATTTAAATTTTCAACTCTTCAGTTAATCACTGATTAACTCTAATTAATTAGTAATTAAGTGATTAACCATACATGATTGTTTAGAGTAAACATGTCTTTTTATTCATTGAAAGTGACACGTTTCAAACTTTTTCAAAGAGGTGGTAGAATTAAAGAACACTTAAAGAACTGGTATTTACAAGATAATAACATACTATTGAAGTATGGATTTTTTTTTTTTTTTTTGAGGAAATCTTTCTTTTAATAACTGATTAGGCAATTAGCAAGTGAGAAACAGAAATTCGTTATCACAATCATTCCCCACCCAAAAAAAAAATTCCAAAAAAAGGAAACTCTCATCAGAAGTATTCCTAGCTTTCCCATCATGAATTTTTACTTTTTGTAAAAATTGCGTTTAGGTAACGCCGAGGAGCCTTTATTCTCCTCCTTTCGCCCTTTTTACGGTTTTACCCAAACAAATCTACATCAAATTTTATTAAAAAAAAAAAAAAACACACACACACACACAAATTTAAAAATATTTCTCTAGAAATTTAGGATTTTGTAACAATAGGAGCGGCCTTTATGTCCGACACCAAGCACATTCATTCACGGGACAATGTTAGATAAGAATGACTCTATTCTGTTGAAGGACAAGCTATCTGAGCTCTAAATCTGGCGTGACAAGCAAGTTGGGTATTATTTATTAAGAATCCGTTTAATTCACTCATTTAAATTTTTATTCGAGTTGAGATGTGGTTTTATGTCAGAACCTTTTACTGTAAAAAAAAAAATAGATGTGACTGTTTATGAGAATTTTTTACTGTAACAAAATTCAAATTTTAAACTTGAATCAGTAAAATAAATAGGACCTAAAAGAAAATAAATAAACGATTCAAAGTAAATTAGAAAAAAAGAATAGTTACACCCATTTTATTTGGTACATCCTAAACTTCTTTTGAGTAATGTCACGAGACACCAACTCAAATATTAATTTTTATATATTAATTAATGTAACATATGAGTTGTTATTTTTTTATTAGTAAATGTAATCTTATTTATTAATTGACATTGTCATTGTCACGTCAATTAATAATAAAAGATTGAATCTACTGATAAAAAGATGATAACTCACATAACAGATTAATTTGTATAGAAGAGTTAGAATTTGATTTAATGTCCCTAATATTACTCATGTTTTAAACATTCACAAATAAAAAAATAACAATTTACATGTCATATAGTTGATATACAATAAATGAGATTTGAATTTGTATACCTAACATTATTCACTTTTTTTCTTTATGTTACAGCGCCACGTCACCACTGTGGTCCCAAGCGCCACCTGCCGTGCCACCACGCCGGTGACGAATCGTGCTTCGCCCCTGAACGGCGGACTTTGTGCTGTCGTTGAAGAGAGTGCCCTGTGATAATCATGAAAGGGCAATGCAATGGGAGTCCGAGAGTTCTTGTGTGATTGGAGGCAAGTTTGAGGGAAAGATTATTCTCTGCATTTTTCAGTTTTCACCAGGACCTCGCCTGCTCCAAGTCCCATAAGTCTCTCCTCGTCGCCACCATCACCGACAGCTCCGTCAAGCTTTTGTGTCGACGGGAGTGGAGGCCGAGGGAGCAGGCCTGAGAGAGGAGCAGGAAACGAGTACGACGGAGGGGTTATTTTAGTATTTTTATATTTTATTATTTTAAATTTTTAATAAAATCCAGTGTGGGAGGATCATGGAAATTTGTTTATCTTAACCGTTGGATAATGATCCTGTGGTTATTGTTTATGTATTTATGTACTCTATCGGTAAGAAAAAAATACGCCGCTATCATAGAATTGCCCTATAAATTTTCCTTTGTAACAAGAAAAGAGAGAATTTTTCTTAAAAACAAGACGAAAGGTCAAAACCGTAAAAGACAATTTACTGTATAACTTTTCCAAACGAACGCCGAATATTTTGGACTAAAGTTTCATCCTATGTTCACTGATAGAAAAAAAAAAAAAAAAATCCTATAAATTGTTTGGCTCCTGAAGTGAAGACTCATTAGTCATCACATTCGTGAAAGTGAAACTCAGCGAGAGAGAGACAGAGAGAGAGAGATGGGAGACACAGACACTCTGGCTGCTTTGAGGGCTTTAATGGCGTCTCACTCTCCGCCTCTCGATGCCTTAATCGTCCCTTCCGAAGATTACCATCAGGTTCTCTCTCTCTCTCTCTCTCTCTCTCGCTTTTCATTCAGTAAATTGCGTTGCTTTATTTTCATTCGAATTCTGCTGATTCTACTTCTTGTTTAATCCTTCAACCGCCCTTTTCTTTTGGATTTAAAGTTAACACACCTAACGCATCATCAATCAATATTTTAAAGTGAAAAAGATTACGGGATTTAAGTTCCTTGATCATGAAATTGGCACCGTGCTTAATTGATTTTGGATTTTTTTTTCTTTTTTTTTAAGAAATAATTCCATTTGATCATGAAAACAAAAAAGAAGCATTTTTGGTGGAATGATTTCTCTTTGGTTATGAATGTAAGTTCTTTGATCATGAAATTGGCACCGTGCTTAATTGATTTTAGATAGTCTTCCTTTTGTTTTTTCTTAAGAAAAACAAAAGAAAAAATTGTCCTTTTGATCATGAGAGCAAAAAGAAGCATATTTGGTATAACAATTTCTCCTTGGTCATGAATTTAAGCTCTTTGATCGTCAAATTGGCACGGCGCTTAGTTGATTTAGATTTTTCCCCCCCTTTTTTAATTCAAAATTGTTCTTTCGATAATGAAAGCAAAAAAGAAGCATTTTAGTAGAAACGATTTCTCTTTGATAGCCGAAGGCACTAGTATCTCTATTACGCTGTCCTTAAAATGATAAAAAAGTCAATCTGTTTCAGTTTATTGGCTCTTTGATCTAGTTCTTATTGTTGTTGTTTGGTGTTTATATGCATCCAATTACTCATATTTCTGTTTGATTGCGTGCTGTGTGTTTAGTTTTTTTAAGTTAGGTAAATCTTAGTGGTATCCCTGAACTTTGGGGTCGTTCCTAGGTCTCCAAACTTAAAAACTCCCATTTTGCCCCTTAATTTTGAATTAGACCCATTTAACCCATTTAACCCTCTTTGATATAAATTCTATTAAAATCAAACAAAAAAAGAGGGGGTTAAGTATGGTCATGTATTCTAGAATAAAAATATGGTCATGTAGTTTTTTTCGTTTCTTTTAACAGAAGTCCTAACAGAAAGACTACATGATGGCATAGGCTCCTTTTTTTTTTTCCATATTAACTGAAATTCTTATAGATGGGTTTAAGTGTGACCAATTCAAAATTCAAGGGTTAAAATGAGAGTTTTTAAAGTTGGAGGACCAAATTAAAAATGACCTCAAAATTCAGAGGGGCATCGGTGAGATTAATCCTTAAGTTTATGCAATTCAAAATTAGATAACCTAAGATTGCTTATTTGGTCACCACTGGAATTATGTGCTATGAATATATCATTTTGATTGAGGCGATTGAAATGTTTTGGGTTCTGAGAACTTTCTTCTATGAGAATGACCAAGTACGGCCGGATGGTCCTCTTGTCTTGTGATAAGGTTTCTGCAATAACATGTAGTAGGAAGCTTATTCGCCTTTGCAGCTATAATATGTTTTCATTTTGTGACATGTTTTTTGAATTTGTTTGTGCTAATATGATGGTTTAACGTGCTCTTATATTGTGCAGAGCGAGTATGTATCTGGGCGAGACAAGAGGCGTGAATTCGTTTCTGGGTTCTCTGGAAGTGCTGGTGTGTTTTCTTTCAATTCTATTGTTTGATGCTTATTAAAACTGGTATCGTTCAAAAGAGTTATGAGGTTTACAGTTTGTGCTGATCATTATTGTGCCTGTTTGTTTCACCGGTTTAACTCAATTTAACTTAGTTCGAATAGTGAGAATAGCTTGAACTCGTGTTTGGTAAGGACGTAGTTCGAATTATATTCCTTATTCGAACTGAGTTAAACTATCCAACTAAGAGTTTACCTCCCCCCTTCAAGCTTAACTGTTCAAACCATTTTTTAACATAAAAAGATGCTCATTCTCTCTATTTTTGACCAACCAAACACAAAGGTCAGATTTAAAATTTAACTGCAAATCCAAACGCCAGTTCTCGGACTATAATTTAACCCACAGTTCAGGTTTTTTTGTTCAAATAAAAAAGTTCAAATCAACACAATTCGAACTAGCAAACCAAAAAGGGGCATTATTTGTCAAGTTACTACATTTCCTTTTCCGACACTGAAATCTTTTGTTATCTCTATATGAGAACAGGTCTGGCACTTGTAACGATTAATGAAGCGCGGCTTTGGACAGATGGGCGCTATTTTTTACAGGCAACTCAAGAACTTAGTGACCAGTGGACACTTATGCGCATGGGAGAAGATCCTAATGTCGACATCTGGATGGCAGATGTGAGTTTCCACGTTCTTGAAACAATCCTATGCATTATCTTGAAGTGAAAAGGCTTTTTACAATGTCTTATGATTGAAAAGTACGCCCTTGTGGATACTTTTGAATATACACATTTCTTGTTCTCTGGAGATCATTTTGGTGGTTATTATATGAGCTCGTTTTCTTTCGCAGAATCTGCCTGAAAATGCTGCCATTGGTATCGATCCTTGGTGCATATCGATAGACACAGCGCAAAAATGGGAACGTGCCTTTGTCAAGAAAGGACAGCAGTTGGTACAGACGTCCACGAATTTGGTAGATGAGGCTTGGAAAGATCGACCTCCTGTGGAGATAAACCCTGTCATTGTCCATCCATTGGAATTTGCTGGTCGCTCTGTAGAAGAGAAGTTGAAGGATCTAAGACAGAAGCTTATACAGGAAAAAGCTCGTGGTATAATCTTCACAGCACTTGATGAGGTGAGTCTATCTTGTCTGTTCCCAAGAGTCTTAGACTCTTGTAACATGGTCTACTACATTTGTATGTTTCATCTTGATTTTGTCATGTGATTTCATATACTTTCTATTCTGCAGGTTGCTTGGCTATATAATATTCGTGGGAGTGATGTGTCCTACTGTCCAGTAGTCCATGCATACGCAATAGTGACATCAGATTCGGCTTTCATTTATGTGGACAAGAGGAGGGTTTCTTCCGAGGTCTGTTAAACTCTTTCTATTTGATGAACTCTTTGAAATAAGGAGGGTCGGATGAAGTTTACTTGTGCATGTAGTTAGATCAACTGAATTTACTATAGAATGTTGAATATGGGTTTTTTAAGTCTAGTATAAGCAGATTTTATTTTCTTTTTGGGAAAAAAAATGTAGTAGCCTCTTTGTAGGTTGAGTGAGAGATTCATAGGTTTTATTTTTGAAGAATTATCTTCGTAATGTGTGTTATATATTCTAGGTAACTCGTCACTTGGAGGAGAATGGCATTGAAGTTCGGGAGTACAGCGCAGTGGGCTCAGATGTCAGCTTGCTTGCATCTGATCAGCTCAAACCTGGTGAGGCCAAGATTGTGGGAAATGGTAGTTATGAAGAAGAAGATAACAATTACGAGCTTGTATGGGCTGACCCTGGTTCATGCTGCTACGCTCTGTATACAAAACTGAACTCTGAAAAAGTCCTTTTGCAACAATCACCTTTGGCCCTTGCAAAAGCTTTAAAGGTAACCTTTTTCATTTTTATTTTTTTTGTTATTATTATTTTTTTGTAAACTTCAGTTAATCACTTGTGTGAAGTACACACACACACACACACGCAACATTCTTGATTGTTTTTCTATTAGCAACTTGCTATGTTGGAATTGATTGTAGCATATAACTTCTTGTCTGACTATATCAATCTTTCGTAACTGGATGATCAAAATCTTAGAACCCAATCGAGTTGGATGGACTAAAGAACGCACATATTCGGGATGGTGCAGCTGTTGTGCAATATCTTGTCTGGTTGGATAAGCAGGTACTCCATTAGACTAATGGCATCTCTGTAGCATGTCGAGAGCTTCTGAACGCATTTTATGATTTTCAAAATGCTACCTTCTTTTTTATGATTCAATTGACTAATGGATGAAATGAAACGATGTCAAAGGCCTAATACTAATACCTAAGGTTTGTGCAACTTTGCAGATGCAGGAGATATACGGTGCTTCTGGTTACTTTTTGGAGGGGGAGAGAGCAAATAAGAAAAAGAGATTGTAAGTAATTCTTTCAGTCTGAGTTTAAGACCCCTGATTTTTGATTGATTTACTTCTCAATTCTGAGATGTATTGCGGTTTGCATGTACCTTGAGATAGAATGTTTCAGTATATCACTTCTCTGACTGGTTTTTAGTACTCAAAAGGATCTTGATGGTTCACTGTACACAATAATTACATTGCGCGCACAGCTTTGCCTATCTATAATAACGACAGGAGTTCTTTTTGTCCTATCGCCTTGATAGTTCTTTGTGCCAAACAGGATTACCTTCTACATCTAAATTAAGTCTCCGATTGTTTCCCGAAGATTTTTAAGAACTGTCCCGGTCTGCAATAGCTTCCCTATTAATTATTGTATATATATGTATTAGCATGACTTTGACACTTACCAATAGTGTGACTCGTTACATGATGAAATATGGCAGGGAATCAACAAAGCTAACAGAAGTGACTGTGAGTGATAAACTGGAAAGTTTTCGAGCCTCGAAAGAGGTACTTGCTTCAGATGAAAATTTCTTTGTTACCATTATTTATTACTATTTGGTTTCAAATTGTGAACATTGGAGATGCCATTGGCACTTATTTGAACCATGTGCAGCATGCCCATTTGATGACATATGAACAAAGTGACAGTTTTAGAACAGCTTTTGATTTATAATGTGTTTTTAATATGAATATAAGGATAGTAAGGAGTTTCTCCTAATACATTTGCAGCATTTTAGAGGCTTAAGTTTTCCTACTATTTCTTCCGTTGGTCCAAATGCTGCGATCATCCATTATGGGCCACGTGCAGAAACTTGTGCTGAACTCGACCCAGATAGCATCTATCTTTTTGATTCAGGAGCACAGGTGTGCCAACTATCACACGTATTTTGGCATTAGCAATCTGGGATAGTGAACTATTTTCACGTGTGATCATTTAACTATGATGCCTTTACTTTATACTGATGATGTCGCTTGCATTTATGAAGTACTTGGATGGAACAACTGACATAACAAGGACAGTTCATTTTGGAAAACCATCAGCGCATGAAAAAGCTTGCTACACAGCTGTAAGGGCCTTTTCTTTCTATTGCTTGCTTTTAGATTACTTTGTTGTTTGGTTGACTTAAATTAGCTTAAGCTTTACTGTGAGCACATTTTTTTCTTGAGTAAAGAATCCTAACTTGTTTTTCATTTTGTTATACCTTTCTTAGGCCCTAAGATACTTGTTTGATTTTGTTGCATTTTCTGCAGGTCCTCAAAGGTCATATAGCACTTGGGAATGCTCGGTTTCCTAATGGAACTAATGGTATTTTGATGTACTGTACTTTTATTTGTTTTACTTTCTTTTCTCGTATCAGATATCTTAAATATATTCTTGTTAACCTGTTTAGTATGAAGAGACATGAATACTTTAGCATATGCTTTCTTACAGGTCATGCCCTTGACATTCTTGCACGAGTTCCATTGTGGAAGAATGGTCTTGATTATCGACATGGTACTGGCCATGGAATTGGATCTTACCTAAATGTTCATGAAGGTAAGCGATAAATAAGATTGTATTGTCAATGGAACTTCTTTATAAATTAAATTAATTTAGAGAAAAGTACATGGTTTGCTATGGTTTTGTACAAGCCTATTATTTATGCCATTCTAAATAATTGGGTGTCATTTTGGCATTTTGTTTTCTCTTTATTAATTGAATAGCAATTCTTTAAATTAATTTAGAGAAAAGTACATGGTTTGTCATGGTTTTTTACAAGCCTATTATTTATGCCATTCTAAATATTTGGGTGCCATTCTAGCCTTTTCTTTTCTATTTATTAATTGAATGGCAATTGTTTATTTTTGTTTGGAGTGGCATAAATAATAGTTTTTACCATGTTGAGTGGTGTTTTTTTTTTCCCTTCCATTTATGTATTTATTTTTGTGTCTACATGTTCCATTCATAAATCGTCATATTTCTCAATTCTAATTACTCTGATTGAACAGGACCGCATTTGATTAGTTTTAGACCACAAGCTCGAAATGTGCCACTTCAAGCCACCATGACTGTAACAGATGGTTAGTGTCTGTGTATATATACCTCCATTATTGAACTCTTTAACCTTATCTTCCATTATAGATCATGCGTTGTAGTTATTCAGCTTCCTGCCTTCTTTTGATTTCCAAACAATTTCTGTATATGCTCTGCCGATCATTCAAATCTTATTTTTGGTATGTAAATTGCATCTTTCAGAACCTGGTTACTACGAGGATGGGAAATTCGGTATAAGGTTGGAGAATGTGCTTATAGTCAAGGAAGCTGACACAAGATTCAATTTTGGTGACAAAGGTTACTTATCATTTGAGCATATAACCTGGGTAAGCTTGTTATTCTCTGTACTAAGTCAAACAATTATTGTTTTTTCTTGTTGTGTGTATGTATATGTGTATTTCTGTTGCCTTGCTCTTATGTGTATTTCTGTAACCTTGCTCTTCTCAACATGGATTTCCTTCTTTTTCCTTCCATCTACTTGATGCTTTAGGCATTCATCGTTTTCGATTATTTGATAATTTCCAGGCTCCATATCAAAGAAAGCTGATAGACTTGAGCCTGTTATCACCTGAAGAGTTGGATTGGCTGAATTCCTACCATTCAAAGTGTAAGGATATTCTAGCTCCGTACCTGGACGAATCCGAGAAGGCATGGCTTAAGAAAGCCACTGAGCCGATTACCGCGTGAGCTTGTTATGTTATTCATTCAGTGACTGGTGTATCTTTGAATTATTGATGATTGGTCTACTTGCCTGGTTTTTTATGTTTTCTGTTTATGACTTGCAATTGGAAGCTGCTACCTTATTCAGGGATGGGTCAGTATCCTATCCTAATAATAAGTAGTCTTTTTCCAGTAAACCAGTCCTGGATCAGTAAAGGACTGAGGTTTCTTCCTCTCAATCCTTAAATCAGTAAAGCAGTCCATGATTATTGTCTCTCTCTCTTTCATTTTTTTCTACAAATGTTGTGGAATGGTTATTAAAAAAAAAAAAAAAAAAAAGCAAACGTGGTATCGTGAATTAATCAAAACACTTATTATTACTGAGAAATTATATTGACACTCCATTTTTTTTTTATCAAGGCACCCCATTTAAAGAATATAATATTTATATTATAGTTAGAACCCCATATACCAAATTATTTTACATTGTCTCATTACATCCCATAAAACTTTTATTTTAAATAAACAAAATAAAATCATTAGTAATAACCGATTTTGTATCTAACCCACAGAAGAACTTGGATGCTTTTTCAAATCATCGACGTCAAAAATCTTGTTTCAAATAGAAAATTGTAAGCTCAAGCAACACAAGATCTCTCTTGAAGTTTTTTATTTATTTATTTTTTAATTTTCTCTTTCCATCATTATTTATTTATATATATATATATATATATATATAAGAGATTTAATTTTGATTTTGTCTTGTGCTTCTTTCCTTTTTTTTCTTAGGTTTTCTCAATAATTTTGCTGAAAACCCATTTCAACAGATTGACAAATATTGCTTCACAACGACAAGAACCATGGATATAGAGCGATTAAGGTGTGAATGTGTGACAGAGAGTGAGGAGGTAAAAAGAAAAGGATGCAGAAAAGAAACAATAAGGGGTGGGAGTTTTTATTTTTTTTTATTTTTTTTATGTTCACTGTCTACTGTGAGGTATGAAGTCATGAACATTACCTTTATTTTAATGGGATATTTTATTTTATTGTTTTATATCTTGCCCTAAGTTTATTAAATACGTATACAATTACTTTAATTTGCTTGAAATTGTAGCTCTTAATTTTGAATTCATGTGAATGTGTTATTTTTGGTCAGCGAGTAATTTTGACTCGAATTTACGAGTTCACCCTTTACGGCTTATAAATCAGTGACAAAAATACTTTCTTAAATGGAAAAAAAAAAAAAAACCAAAAACTTATTGGCGAATTTTCATTCTGCTTCTTAGAGAACCAGATATAATTTTTATGACGTCTTGTTTGTTTGTTTGTTTTTTTTTTGTCTTTTTAAAAAAAAAACCAAGTCTAATAATGTTCGGTTCTAAGTTTGTACATAATTATCTTATTTCTAACACTTTTGTTACGAATTTTATGAGCGTAAGTATACACTATCGTTGACGAGTAATAAAAATCTCTAAATACACGAGAATTGATCGTTACTAATTATTAAAATTGAATTAACTCTAAATTTTATTTGAACAGTCGTAACAAGAGGATTTGTAATGAAAATTAAGATAACAAAAATTAAAGAAAAACAAGAAGGCAAATAATACTTGATGAGAAATTTAATAATAAAATGACTCTAAAGTTTCCGATTTTACTAGGATCAATCAAGCTCAAATTCTCAATTCTCAATCCATTAATATTTATTCCTATGGTGACAATGGATTTCGCGAAATTAATTAGTAATCTTTCTCCAGCATTAATAATTGTATCCTAAGCATACAAATCCTACATCTCTGTTAAGATTTTAACATGTTGGAATACATTACAAATATGAAACCATAAGCACTGCACTAGTCACATAATTATCTAGCTTATGATGTTCTAATGGCATTATAATCCTTGGGCACGTTCAACCATCACTTCTTAGTCTCAAAATTAAACCTTAAATCATTCAAAGGTTAGCCAGACATTCACACGCATTAAAAACATATTATAACACTTAACACAATGGAATAAAAATCGATTAAATTGAAAACCAAGAATGTTAAACAATCCTGATCTAGCACAACGCTAACTACTTGCAATTTCTTTGCTGGCTGCTGCGTTTTGGCGCCGCGACAGTGCCTCATGGGGCCGCGACACTGGCCTTTTCTGGGACTTGTCCTATTTACGCAGTTTTCATTTCCGAATGGCTCCAAACCAAACCCGAGTGCATCCTCCTACCTAAACTACAAAACAAACATAAAAACAAGCGTAAAACTGAAACTAAAGATTCGAAAAGCCAAAATTAATCACCAAATTTGAGTATATAATTTACTCATCAACTTTTATGATTAGTATGTACATCGTTGTAAATTGCTCCTCTTCAAGTAATTAATGAAATTATTGATACTTTTAAAGTAGACATTAAGATTTAGATATTTACGCCACTAACCCTCCTTTCTTTTATCCAGCACTTTAATCTACTGCCGGCATGACTTTTTAGGCCTTTTTCTTTAAGGGAAATTTTATTTAAATCACGACAATAAAATATTATAAGAGAATGTATAGTACTTATGACATGGGCTCAAAAAGGGGAAGCACCTTAGCACACTAAAAATGAGCACACACGCTCTTTTTGACAAGACCTTAATAATCAAAGGAAATATCCGATCAATTAAGAGTCACGACACTGTAGTGTAAAGACCACTGTTAGAGACACGCACACCACCTCAAAGAGCGATCTCTTATGGGTTGGATATATAACCACAATTGGAAGTTGGGCATACCAATTTTGTTATTACAAAAAAAAAAAAAAAATACATTAAACGGAAACAAATTCCCAACATAGAAAAAATCACCGAAGCCAATCTTCGTTGCCTTCCACAGCCAACCTAGCCATGCAGCCCTCCCAAGGTTTCGCTGCACCAAAGGAACAAATCCCCCAAGTCACAGATCCACCCAAGGCCCCATGTGGCCCATGCTGACAATCAAAGCCGCGACACCATCTCTGATGTTGAGAGCTCAACCACACACCACCGTGACAAGAAGAAGGAAAACCAGGGGTGAAGATGTCATGCCCTCTACTCTTACTCGTTAATTTCTATAATTAGCTTTTGGTAATTTAATGGTTTCTGTGCGGTATATGATTTTTATGATAACTCTAGTGAGCTTTAATCTCCTTGATTCACCCGTGATCCATTAAACGTGTAATTCGCGTACATATTTTCATGATAGTTAAATAATTAGAGTGATAACTCTATAAAATATTTATTTTTTTCTTATTTGCGTCTAATTTAATTTTGTTCTCGACGATTTTTATTTGTTTCATTTGATTTTTAGTTAGTTTCATTATTTTTGTTTTGCGTCATTTTATTTTAGTTTAGTTAATTTATTTTGATTTTATTGTATAGGTGAATTTGGTGAGAAGGTAATTATTGGAGGTTAATAGGAGGAGGAAAAAGGGGAAACTGCGAAGTAAAAAATACATCCGGAATAAATACTTCTCCACGCACAAAAACTCAGTTCCAGCCCTTGCTCATGCGCCAAGTCACCAGATGCTTTATTCCAGCCAATGAAAGGCCGCCACTTGTCTCTACTTGCATCAGCATCTTGATTGCCTTGCTTTTCCTTTGTTGCTGACGTGAGATGAAAGGTTATAGTCTCTAGTGATTCGAGTTTTTAATTTGAGTTAAAATATAATTTTATATTAAAATTTTTAATTGTAGTAAAAAAATTAAACGTGATTTTTTAAAAAAAAATTTAACTATAATAAAATTAAAATTAAAAATTTAATCAGTTAAATAAATAAGGCGTATATAATCAATCTATTTTTCCAGCTGCAACAAAGGGAGACCCCCTTGCACGATTATTCCACAGTAAATATACCTAAAACTAACAGCCCCATTAAAAGAGCTGAGAGAAAAAAAGCATCTGGGGATTTTTTTTTTTGGGAATTTTGGAGTCAGTTTTTAGGGTTGTTTTATTTAGAATTTTTATATTTAGGTTTAGAATTTTACAAGGGAAAAAATAATTTGAAGATCAAGAACTAGAAATTGAAGATTGGAGAGTTAAGTTTGGAGACCAGTGATACATCCGCATAAGTTTTTTTTTTTTATTTCTCTATCTCTGTATTTTTGTGAATTGAGATGTTGGAACTCTTGATTTATTTTATTTTTATTTTTATGTTTTAATTTTATGTTGCCAAGGTTGTGAGATTACTAATTTTATTTTAATTTAATTTAATTTACTTTTGCTTTCAATGAATTTATTTACTAAGAGTCTTTTGTTCATGATCGTTCTTTCTTTTACTATGCTTAATGATTTCAATTATCTGGCTAATATTTGAATTATTTTGGAGACCTAGATTGAAACTTAAGAAGATTTTTAGGAATAGCTTCTTGTGAGAGAAACCGTAAGGTGCATGCGACATCTAGCGATAGTAACATGACTTACATGAACAATTAAGAGAACCAGATAGCGTAATAATTTCTAGAGTAGTAAAATTCACATCAAGAGATAGCGAGTTTACATGCTAGGAATATGTTTGATAGCATTCCCATAAGGACTATTAAATAATTTAGGCTTTCTCGTTCTAACACATAATAGGTGATGTTTGTAAGAATAATGAATTAAATTAGATTAGTTTTGGTGAGATCAATTGCCCTAGTCTTTTATTTATTTGAGTCTTTTATTCTTTGATTTTTCATTTATATTTTAGTTTTATTTTTTTTTCTATTTTATTTTTGATTGTTCAAATAATTTTAGAGTTAACTAATTTCGTTAATTAATTAAAATTAACGCAATCCTCGTTGGAATGATATTTTACTTACTATTTTATTATTTGTATGTGATATTGTGCACTTAAAATTTTCACATCATGAAGCAAAACTCATAAAATTAAATTACGAATGGAATTTTTAATGCCGTAATCTTGATCGGAGAGTCAAAATTACTCAAGAAAGTGAATTCTGTAAAATTCTATTCTGGGGCCAATCCTGCTATTATGTCAAAGTTTGGTGCTGAAAATATTATTTTTACAAAATAAGGTAACTCAAAATATGAATTTTAAAAATAGTTAGACCACTTCTTCAAAGCTGATAGGTTTTAAAAAAGTTTATAATTAGGTGATTTTTAGTCACCTTCGAACACCACCAATAAAAAATTTACGACTCTAAAATTTAATTAAAAAAAAGTAAAAAGGGAATTATAGATACTCCTAAGTCTATCAGACATTCTCTCTTTCTCTTTACGCTCTATCCCTCTCTCACACTCTCTTTCCAGAAAAAACAAAACTATTCCCAAGGTAGTTTAGTAACGTTGCTCACTTTAATTAGTTGTTCTCATTTTTCATCCTATTTTCTGCCCACTTGTGGAAAGAAGAAAAATTGTGGGACTCACATGTATTATTTTTCACTCAATTTTCTCTTACTTTCTCTTTTCTCTCCTACCAAACAACTTACATTTTCCATTTTCTCTCTTAAAATCTCTCCACCTTCTTCTTTCCTTCTACTTTTCTTTCCTACTAAACATACTCTAAGTCAAGAACGAGTTTTCATCATCAAAGGATTCTAGAGCCATTTGTTCTTCGAGGATAAGCCTCTCAAACTTTCTAGTATTTCCATTATTGTGATGAAATGTGCATTCCAATGATCGTAGATTGAGCTTTGTTGATTTGAGTTTCTTGAACATTAAAAGGGATGTTGAATCAAGTGTTGCATGAGAGTTTCAAACATTTAAGCATGCATGAAAAGTGTTTGCTGAAATGAACATGTAATAGTTCTTCTGGCTAGTTTTAGATTTTTAATTTTTCGGGATGTTTTTCGTACTATTTTGTCTCAGCCATTATTTTTTCTTTAAAATAGACATTTTAAACGGGTTCAAGAATCACCTTAAAATGATTTTTGTAGAATTAGTTATGAAATTAGTCAAGAAGGTGACTTCTGTAAACATTTGTCAATTTCTTGATGAGAATTTTAACTTCTATTTTGGG